AAATGCTATGTTCGATGCAGCATCTGCATCATACTGCTTAAGTAAAGCTGTGTGCTACACTGTAAGTTAAGGGTGATAAATAAGGAGCAACAGCTTTTTGCCCTGAGCGGTGAGATGGGCACAGTGTGAGAAGAAGCCGGTAGCGATGATCGGAATACAACTCACCATCATCGTGTTTGTTTGCGGCGCTGGACGAGTAAAAGTTACACGGGTGAAACTAACTCGGACACGAGGGACTTGCTAAACCTTACAGGCTGGGACCAGAAGTGAGGTCCGTGTTGAAGGAGGACCATTGTGGATACGATTCAGCCATGTACAGCACAAGCTGTCTGAGTTTAGACGTGAGTCGGCAAGGGAGAGTGGCAAACAGTAGGAAGCTGTGGCTGTCTAAGGGAATACAGTTATGGGGTGTTGTGGTGTGTGTGCGTCTTCATTAGTTCTCCTTTGAGTCCAAAGTGTTCGGTTAAACACAGCATTATCCACTGTATGACGTGGGACCACATAGTCAGTGTGTAAACCTCCAACCACTAAAATGAAACATACTGAAAGCACTAACCCTTACCCCCCAATTATTTTCAGAAGCAAATCAGGGTGGATTAAACCTTTAAAGAAATTGTTCCGTTCCCCAGCATGTCACTCATCTCCACAGTGCTGCAAGCAAATGGGTGCCTTTTGCAAATGGAGTGGTTTGGAAAACTGCAGAGGAGGACAGTACAATATCCAAGACGGCGTTTTCTTCTCATTCTTGTTTTCTAGAAGGTTATATTTGTTCTATATCCTGGCATTTTAGGTGGCATGTACATACTTCAGCCTCTTTCCTTCCTTTTCCCAGGCATAGTTTGGAAAAGCTCTTTCCAGCCAATATATGTAACACAGAACCAAAAACCCCTTAGAATGAAACAAATTCACCTACTTGAACTTGAGGCGTGTTCCAAGGATTCCACCTTCCTCCTCACCATGCCATGCAAATAGAGAACAATGAAGTAAAGCATGTACTCTTGAACTGATAAGTTTTTGTATCAGAGTAATAGGGTAGCAGAATTCCTAACATTTCTTTCTGTGAAATGTGTATTTTCTAATACAAGCGTACACTTCCCTTATCAGAAGCAAAATGCCACTAGTATTTCGTTGTGTCACTGAAGTCATCAGAATGTTATGGTGACCTGCTACTTAAAAAATAACTAACTAGCCTAAATAAAGACTATCTCAGCACAACTGGGTCATAAGGATGATTTTTCCATCTTTGGAATTAAACAGAAAGCAGTTTTATTCTCTTTGCAGACTGTATTTCATATTCTATTTTGGTCCTGTTATGAGCTAAAAATCAGCTTTTGCCTTATGCCTGGACTGTTCCACAACCCAAAATAAACAAAACTGAATGTACGTTGGACACATACAGACCTTGCCAAAGGCATAAATTCTATTAAATGAGCCATATTCAATTTAGAATACCCCTAAGCTAAGCAGTTCCTATGGGTAGAGCCCTGTGTCGTTTAAAAAAATAAAATTCTAGAGAATCATCTCGGTAATACAAAGTTATCTATTTGACTGAAATGGATTTGGGTGTCTTGTTTATATTGCACCTTTATAACATTTTTCAGACCACTCAGTTCAGTTTTCCAAACTTCTTCTGCATCCAGCCACAAGCTGCACATCTTGTCTTACCAAGTTGTGTGTTACTTTCAATTACCTTGTCTTGCATTTTAATGGTTTCACAATTTTCAGTGAACCTAGAAAGCACTGTAGTTTCGATAGGGGTAAGGGACAATCCCTTTTATTTTGCTTGGTCGGATAAGTAAGGGACTGTTGCCTGTACTTGCTTCTTGAGGAACAGAACTTTGTTGATTGTTTGTAGGTCTTCCCTGTTCTTTCAGCCCTATCTCAATCTCAGCTTCCTTGCCTCCTGCAGTTAATTATCATTCCTAGGTCATTCTCTCAACTCCTTTCCTCTTTGGGGAGTTGTGTTTGTTAATATAAAACTCAAACCACGTAAGTCTTGCTCCCAGATTACCACAGCTGTTATGTAAGGTTTTTTTCTTACTCCACTCAGCATCTTTTTTTTCCAGACTTTAACACTGCCTCTTGCTCTCTTTAAACTCCACTACGCCCGTGCAAACTGTCAACAAGCTCTGGAGAGTTGCTCAGGCAGAGTCCCTGTCATCTTTATCGTGGCTGCTCTCTGTGTCTGGTATGAGGGCTTGGTTCTTAGCCCCGTGTTCCCCTGCCTTGATTTTCTTCTCCGGAGCGTTGGCCTGTGTGTGTCAGAGGTGCAGCTCAACCCATGTTGAAATGTGGGGATGCAGCATTCTATTTAAAGCTGGTACCCTCTTCTTAATGTAGAGTTATGGTCTGATGGAATAATCTCCCAAGAGGAAAAATGCATACGCAATAGAAGATATTAGTTAAGCTTCCCGAACATGTAAAAGAATACCAATACTTAAGTGCTTCTGTTGACTGCGAAACAAAGCTATCCTGAAGCTAGTGCTGACTCCAGCTGATAAATCCACCCACATGATGCTGCATCTAGATCTGAGTTGGCGTGTGAGGGACCAGCTCTGGTACCTCTGCGCTTGCTGTGCAGTTAATCCGCAGCTGGATCAAAATCAGTTGCTTAGATTCAGTAACCTGTTGATCAGCGAGCAGATCTGGCAATCTGTTGTGGATATCTAGTGCCTTTTAGTGCTGTTTCCAAATAAGTTCTCAGGGATTTTGACTTCTGAACTCAAAAAGCTAAGACATGACTGCCATGTGGTTTAGAAGAATTGTGCAGGCAGTGCTTAGAAGATTTACATAAGAAAAAAATAATTACATTTTTGCTTCGTTTGATGAGTTCCTATGAATCTTGTAGAGCTAGAAATAGGCACTCGGTAGTAATTGTGTTTGCAGTGAACCTGTAACTAACGTATAACCGACGGGTATCGAAAGAAAATGTTTTTAATAATGATGCTGCACACACAAAAATCAAAGCTAACATTTGTAAACCTTTCTGAGAGGATGGCAAGTGCTCACGCACAATTCTACCATTATGCGTAGATCTCCTGTGTGTCTCAAGTTGGACGCTTTTATCATAGGTTAAATAACGAAAGCTTTGGCTGAGGTGGTGAAGGAGAGCATAACATCCTGATATTAACTTCACCTTACCCAGAAAAGTTGGATTACTAAGTCTGGAAAGAAAGCTGTATATAACTTCTGCTTTATCAGCTCAAAAAGAGAAAACTTTGTAAATACATTATGCACATCCTAAATCTTGCCTATTCTGGATAAAATACTTTACTAAAATCTAAAAAAATGGAAGGACAAACATGGGGAAAAAAAACCCTCCATCTTAAGTATTCAAGGAATTATGAGCTACATTTAAAAAATCTGTAATTTGTCAATAAAATGCAAAATTCTCCGAAATGTATCAATATAATAGCTTTGGATGTCCTTTTGTAAAACCTAGTTTTAAAATCAGTTACATCTTCAGTTTGTTACATGTGTAATTGAGGCATTTGAATGGTAGTACGGCCTAAGGCCATTTCAGAGTTAACCAGAAAGTATTTAGGTGGTGACTGGAACGTTTCTGTAAAGACTTTCAGCAGCAAGAGTTAAGACTTCATAGTTGACAATATATCTGGTAAGTAGTGCTCTATGGTTTGAAGAAATAGTAGTGTGCTTTAAAAATTCCTTAAAATATCATTTTTCCGCATCTTGAAAGTGCTATTTTAATTATTTCCTCCCAGCAGTGTTATTTCTATATATATAATTTAGATAACAAATGTATTTTAAGTAATGTAGTAACTTAAATTTGGGGTCAGTGGTTAGTTACTTCAAGTTGTAAAAAAAAAACAAAACAAGAGGAAAAACCTGATCTTAGTTACATCACTGAACTTGGAGTGATGTAACTCATCCCATCCAGCAGCTCCTAAGCAATATTTGTTTCTTTGATTAAAATCTGATGCATAGTGAAGAAATTTTATCATGTATTGCTGGTTTTCTTCCCTATTTTGTACATCCCTGTTAAGATGCTAATTCAGTGTATTTATAGATATTGGTCTCATCAGTAACGGATTTGGTCATGCTGATTTGAATCATTGACAGGATTTAAAAACATCGCAAATACATTTTAACAAGCTATTTTATATGTATGATCCAATATTGTAATAAAGTCTCGGCACAGTGTAAGTTTTGCACTTTCTAAATGAGTTGGCAGTGCTTCTATCTGATGAGGAGGTAGGTGTGTTTATAACTTTTTAGGGCTGACTGTCAGGGTAAAATAAAAATTACTTGCCTGGTTGTGTACGTTTTCTTCCCCAGAAACAGTGAAAACATAAGTCGGTAGCTAGCAGCTAATTGCTTAGCACTGACATAGTTTAGTCAAGTGGGGGCATCGTTGGTCTTTCACAAAGAGGTAATGTGGCCAAAAGGATTTACTTGTGAAGTTTAGGTGGCTGTGATACAGTAAACTACCTGCTCTGGATTTGTCTTAATTTGGGAACTCTCTAGCTATAAGGTGCACAAAGAGCACGTTTGAGGCGTGTATATGGTTTTAATTATATTACATTGAAAACATAAGCGGGCTCAGTTCTTTACCTGTAATTCAGACTTGGGATTTACATCTGTCAAATTCTGTCTTGTTTAATTGCATCTAAGAAGGTTTTAGGTGGCAATGTTTTTCTGGTGAAAGGAGTGTGTATTTCTTGAAAATGTCAGCTGCAATCGGACAGTTCTCTGCTGAATCTGAGAAACAGCGGACAGCCTGGCAGATGCCTGAAATATTTCATTCCCTTCTAATTTTTGGTTTGCGTTGACAAAAATATTAATAAAAGTGTCAGAATACCATTTTGGGAAACGGTCATTACTAAATAATGATCGTTGTTAGAAACCATCCTCTGACAATGATTTATGGCCAAAATTCCTTTTCCGTGTAGAAAAAACTAAAACCTGGAAGAGGAAGCTCTTTGGGGATGGTTGGAAGTAGCTGAAAATAAACTTCGTGCCTTAATTACCTTTATGTAATCATGTGCTCCAACGGGAAGAATGAAGCTGAAAAATATACGCTGGCGCCTATGGGAGGTGAATGCCTTAATTGTACGTCACGGGCGCAGCGGTTGGATGCCCGCGCCGCAGCGGCAGATTGCAAGTGGTGGTCAACTCTGCCCGTGGTGTGCCTGGCTTCGTTACCCAGTTGCGGTGTTACCTCCGCTGAAAGCCAAAGGGCTTGTGGGGATGCTTTGCCATGGCTGCATTTTGGGAAGTCTTTTCAAGGGTGTGTATCATGGGCTGTGCAGGACTGTGCCTTAAGTACTTCAGCACAATGTTTCCACTGGTACAATTCTTGGCCTGTTCTCCTATGTAGATCTGGAATCCTGTATATCTACATCCTTTGGAGACAAGTGCCAAGGGCGACAAGTGGAGATAATAACTTGTGATTTGTGTCTTTTGCAAGTTACAGTCATTGTAAACTGACAGCTGTGAAGGACCTAAACTCACATCAAAGGATACAGATCATCTAGTTAGGTGAATCAATTTTAATTCTCATCTTCCATTAAATTCTTTTATCTTTTTTTTTTTTTCCAGCCAAGCCCGATACCAAGTCCTGTTTTGGGGAGAAAGCCAAATGCTAGTCAGTCACTGCTTGTGTGGTGCAAAGAAGTTACAAAAAACTATAGGGGAGTGAAAATCACCAATTTTACTACATCGTGGAGAAATGGTTTATCCTTTTGTGCAATATTACATCGCTTTAGACCAGACCTAATGTAAGTTGTATACTGTCTATGTAAGCTAATGCTCCTAAAAATATGTAACATTTAAGTTCATGTAAAAATCAAATCCCTGTTCATTTCAGGTGTTGAAGTGTCTTGACCCTTTTCTTTTAAGCAGGGAAGCGTCCTTTCTATGAAAACAGATTTATGAATGCTCAAACTTTATGATCTCTTTGCTCTCCCTTGTTGTGTAAACAATTGTTTCTCCCCTTTCTGTGATTTGTTTTTCTTCTTCCTAATCTAATACAAAGAACTGACTACAAGATGATTATAATAATTGTGCTGGTGTTGAAATGAGGTGAGAGGAATAAGCCTGTAGCTCTTTGTACGCTGACAGGGACGGATTACCTCTTGGTAAATTTGGTTGTCAAGGCCAGCCTCTAGTCCCTGCCTTAACTTCTTTTTAGATGGAAAGCTTCAGGCTATGAAATGTGTAATCGGTGTTTGTTTATCTATCTATCTATCTATCTATCTATCTATCTATCTATCTATCTATCTATTCCTCTAATTTTCCACACTATTAGTTTTGTTGATTGAATTGCTGTGAAATTGCTGGTTACTGCCTGATATTATTGTATATCAAATTTTTAGATTCAGTTTGTTTTAAAACTGCTGCTTTTATCGAATACTGTACATACCCACTGTGCCATTTTCCCCCTCAGTGACTACAAGTCCCTGAATCCTCAAGATATTAAAGAGAACAACAAAAAGGTAAGAACTGCCAGGGGGAAAAAAAAAAAAAAAGACATAGCTTCAATTTTGGCTTCACTGCAGGCTTTTATTAATTTTGGGAAAGTGTGGTTGTTTTGTAAGGCCGTAACTGCGCCTCACAGAAGGTATTCAACCTCCTGCAGTTCAAATCGGATGCATTATTGACTCTAGTTTGTCATGGTCTTTAACATTCACAAGAAGTGCAAGGTTGGCATTAGAGTTTAATATTTCTATGGCCTACATTAACTGTGCAAGCAGAGGAAAGGGCTGGCCAGCTTTCTGTGATCACGCCTGATTTTTCCAATCAGCCACATAATTAAAAGAATGAATAAACGTCAGCGCTCTTGGATTGTCGTACACAACAAACTTCCCTTTCTGTTTTAATGGGGCTCTGGGCGTGGGTGTCGCTGTGTTGGTGATTTTTATGTTTTTAAGATGAGATTTTACACCTGCTTTTATAGTGCACCAGCTGAGTGATGTATGCCAAATGGATAGTTTAGGATAAAAAGTGTTGAGACAGTACTTTGCAAATAAACTGAAACAATAGCAAAATCGTTTATAGCATTGTGCTGAGCAGCTGTTTTAAGCAACTCTTTCTACCTTCGTGATGCAAAGATGTAAAAAGTTTCTCTGGAAAAAGGAGGAACTCATTTGGGAATCACCAGAAGACTTCTTATTTCTGCTCACTGTTTTAGGCATGTTACAAGCACCAGATGGGCCCCAGGGACATGTTTAGAAATGACAATTTTCATGCAAGTCACTGATAATGAACTTGTTCCTAAAGATCATCTGAAAATTATTTTTAAGTAGCTGCCTACTCAGTGCTGTGATTTTATTTTTATACCACTCTAAAAAAAACACTAAATGGAGTTGGGATGAAGGTGTCAGAAGATACTTTGAATGAAGTAATTATGTTCAAAGTTATATAACAAATATAAGAAGAATATTGTAGACATGTAGAATGTCTGAAAGTGCTGTCTTAAAATTCATTTGCATTTAGGGTAATTATATTTTAATGTGCCTGCACACTTAGGTGTTAGCCAGGGGGTTACTTGTCTTTAAAATAGTACTTAAGTATTATACATAATAAAATATCTCTGAGCTGCTGTTATCTAATGAGTGATTTGGCTAATGATATTTTTTTCTTAATAATATGGGGTCTTATGATGACCTAAGTGGCTTATCAGTGTTTTCTGTGGCCATATACTTTTGTACTTCAAATTTCATTGAGCATCCGGGCTAATTAAGGTGGATTATTAAAAAAAAAAAAAGAAAGCACAGATTATTAATTAAAAATGGTAGTGGTACAATCAGTCAACTTTTCTTTATGAAACTGTGATGGCAAACGGTGAACATTTTAGCACGACTCTCTAACAGGATATAGTTCCCAGGATTGAAGAAGTAATAATTGTTATTGTGCAGTTTTTTTCTTTCATCACTTTGCAAGCCTTTGCCTGACAGCTACATTGAGTATCTCAGTTGCTTCCTGCAGATTTATTTCCTGGTCTCACACAGTTCTGCCTGATAACCCCATGTGCCCTGGTTGGAGTGAATGCGGTAACAATGAGTGCCTGTAAAATCCATGCAGATATGTAACACATTTAACAATGATTCCTCCTAACCAATTAAAATAACATCTATGGCTGAATAGGGCAATTTTCTTTGTCTTGAAGCATCTCTCTCTCCCCCCCCTCCCCCTTAGGAAAGGAGGTAAGATGTAGCTGTGACCGTAGATTATAGGTTAACCCGTAAGAGTGTATCTTCTAGAGGTGCGTGATGTTGTTTGTATTTTAATTAAAAAAAGAAGAAATCTTAATGGAAAACGGTTTCAGTGAAACTGCTGTGTATGGTTACACACTGAAAGGCACTGTTACAAAAAGCACATCATCGGAGTTTCTCTACAACGCGCACCAGTCATGGGCCAAATGGTGCTGCCACTGATGCTGAATAAAAAAGGGTCGTCTGTGATACCTGATCTTGGCCGGTACGTCAGCGTGTTACATAGTTGGGAAATGGTTGGAATACTGCCTGTGGTGCTGGCGCTGACAGATCCCAGTTGATGTTTGTCAATCACCTTGTCAGTAAATTAACAAAGAAAAAAAAACCCTTCATCGGGAGGTAGGTAAATAGGTTTAGTGTCCTGGATATACCTCTGTGTGTGTGTACATGTTTTAATTTCCACAAGATAATTATATCTCTAAAAACCAAAACAAACCCAAACACTACTCCAGATTACATTAGCATCAGTCGGAATTCATATATATTTGTGGTGCATCGGGCTCATTGCAAATTCAGATTTTTCTGAGGAACAAAAGAGAAACAAGGATTATCTTTCAGAAAATTAAAAACATTGCAGGGATCCCTTCCCGGCCGATCCGAAGAGTTCTGGTTCTACTTACGTGTTGTATATATTTAACTATCCGTATAACCTTCCCAATAATGTTAATCAACTAATTTTATTTACTACGTCCATTTGATTATTGGTGAAGAATAATGAAAAATGTATTTAGATGGCAGTATACTGGCAGTATAGTCCCTTATCAAGAGTAGAAATTTTTCATATTGCTAATAACATGTCCTGCACTTTAAAAATGTAAGCTACTAAACTACACTTGGCTGGAACTTGGAGAGGATCAAAGAACAAGAAGTGGAAGCACACAACAGTATGATTCTAATAATGAACTTATGTTTTTAATTACTTTATTGTTGAGAGAAGCTCGTTTCATTTGAGGGATTATTGTGTGAAAATAGCAATATATCTTCTGAATATTTGATTGGAACTTTCAATTTTTGTGATGCCTTATTTTTTTCTTTTTTTCTGGTTTTTGACCATTTCTACTGAATTTCTGAATATATTTGAACTTGATTGTCTTGACAAAATAGGCCATTTCACACGGAAGGAATCTTTTAGAATATATATTCAAACACAGGAATTCAGAATTACAGGGGTAGCATTGAGTCAAAATGGAAAAGATTCCTTCCTTTTAAGCTGGCAGCCATATTTTTATAACAGGCATTCATGCTTCCATCTATCATTTGATTCCACAAAATCATAAGCACATATTTAACTGTGCATGTAGGAGTTGCTCGTTGACCTCGGTAGGATCATGTAGAAGCATAGTTAAACATGCATATAAACCTTTGCAAAATCAAGGCTGAGTTATATGCCTCTGTTAAACATGACTTGGAAACTGTAATCTTTCAGGATCATGTTACAAATTAGTTAGAAACACCAGGCATTTATAAATATACTGGAATATCAAGAAGGTCCCAGCTTTTCTAACAGTGAAGGAGAACCCATCACATACTGCTACCTGGACACGTACAGAACGTACAGTTACTATTTATAGAACTAACGACTCTGAAACGTGCACGTGCCAGTCCAGATACCTACTGTACTTTAAAAGCAGAGAAGCAAGAATGTGTTATCGTCCAAAATGAGAAGGAGAGGGGATGGGAAATAAGTATCTGGCATTGGTGGAAAAGTGTTCAGTCCCCAGCATCACCACAGGAACTGAGCAGACAGTAAGAAACGATTGCAGACGTATCAAGAACATCAGTCATTCCAAATTCAATCCCCCTGTCATAGTACTACCTGTTCTAAGCAAGTGGCTTTCCTAACAACTCTGAAACACTGTCCACACTTTCATTTTACAGGCCCTGGGAGATATTCATAGGGTTTAGATTTATTAGCATATGAGTAAGAGTATAAAAGAGTTCAGGTCATGTCTGTGGGCTTTGGCTGCTGTGGACTGTTAAGCCCATCCTGAGGTCCTTTCATTCTTCACATGGTAACTCCCACTATCTTTGGTGTGGGCCAACAGGTTATTTATGCCACTGAATCAGCACTGACCCACTTAATTTAACAACAAATCCTGGTGGTGTTACCTTTGGTCTGTAGGACAACACAGCTGGCTGGCTGTGCTTTTATACCCAGCCTGTTTTCTGGGAGAGTACGAGCACTCATCATTCCCGCTCCCTGCCATGGCTTAGACTGCCCACCCAAATCCCTGCCCTGCTCTCCTTTCTCCCTGCTCCTCAGGCCTGTTTGGTTCCACCTCTCTCTCCTCCATATCCAGCCTGATCCTGCTCCTCCAGCTCTGTGTCCTAAGACCAGGTAAATGACAGCTGTCCCTCTTCCACCATCTAAGTTCTTCCCATTCCTTCCCACCTATCATTTTTCTGCTATTCTGCTCCATCTTTGTATTGGCAAATACAACATCGATGTTTCCTGCTGCTACTCCTACATCTAAGCACAGCTCTGCTTCTGTAAATGGCGTAACAATCTCCCATAACAAACTTTCCAAAAAAATTATACCCCACAAAGACCAGCAGTGATTTTAGGCCAAATCAGTTTGCACAGGGAGAGCCAGAAAGGCTTAGAAGTCAATTATTCCGATAATTTCTATGTCTAGGTGAACTCTCTGAATCATTTGTTATAGAGATATAAAACTCCCTTCACCAAAAATGCTTTGGCAAGTTATACCTGAGCATGAGGGGAAGCATACAAAATTTCAGGAAGATAAATTACAGCTCCCAGAGTTTGAAAAGCGGCTGAAATGAAAACTATTTGACTCTCAAGTAGGGAATGTCTCCAGCACATTGAAAGGGAAATGGGAGAGCCTCTTTCTCAGAGTAAGTAACACAGCCAGCCCCACGTTCCAACTCACCACTGAACCTGTACTAGTGTGAAAACTAAGAGGTTAAACACCCGGGTAGAGCTGAAGGCAGCAAGATGTGTTACTGTTTCCTTGCAAAAGGACCGGTCCATGTCTTAAATTCAACATCCGTTTTTGTTCAAGATAGTATAAGAACAACCGTGAATATTTTAGGCCCCTTCAGAAGAGGTGAGGAAAAGTCCGAGTGCTGTAACCGAGTACATCGGCACTAACAGGAGGCCTTGTTTAAGGCTTCCTTGAAACACAATATTGCCTTCCAAGGTTAATCCAGGATAGTAATAATTAATTGTAAATTGAGAAATGGCTTTAATTCTTCAAAACTAGAAAAACCTGATGCAGCAAGCCCACTCGTTTAAAGGGCTAGCAGAAAGAAGACATTGTGGCCTCCCAGGTGGGAGGCTTGCAACCTGTTCAGCTTTCAGAAAGGAAAGTGAGAACGAAATTCACTTTCTCTCTTCTAAATTTAGCATCCACAAATGTTTTTAAAACACATTTGTTTGCTGGATTAATGTGACTTACGTCTTGTATCAAGCAATCTGTGGTGATGTTCTGTTTGGCTATCTGGACATTGTTTTTCATCAACACAAATCACTGCAATTACATGAGTAGAAGGGAGAAGGTTGATCACCAGTGATAAAGCCCAGGCTGGATTACTCTCGTGTTCCTTGTATCTTTGTTCCTTATCTTAAAAAGCCATCCTTAGTTGCTTTTTTTCTGGTCCAACTCTTACACTTTTTTTTCCCCCTCATTTCCTGTTATTTGTTTGAGAACCATTTAAGATACTGGTAGGTTTTCTTTGTGCAAACATGAAGGACTTTTAAGTTGCAGTTTCATGAACAGCTTTTTACTCATGAAAGTGGCATCATTTTGAGTAACCAAAGATATTAGTATAATACGGTATTGAGGTGTGTTAAAAAGTATTTAAAACAGTGCCATTTGAGTGTCTTTACTGGTCATGTTCTCTCGATTTGCACTGCTATAAAAACAGCCTGGCAGATATCTAGAAGCCAGCAGGGAAAATCTGTGAGTTGGGTGTTGGATTGTGCAACAAAATATAGCAACTATTGTAATGAAGCCAGAAGAATAATAAGTACTGTTCGTGTAATACTGGAGATGTTTTAGGCTTGCTTATTTTGACTGCTGCTTCCACTTGCATTCTTGAAATGTTATGATATGTAAGAAACGGCTGCGTGGTAATCTTTATTTTGTCTTTTTTTAAAGGCATACGATGGGTTTGCCAGTTTAGGAATATCGCGATTGCTGGAACCTTCTGACATGGTTTTATTAGCGATACCTGACAAACTGACTGTTATGACCTATCTCTATCAAATAAGGGCACATTTCTGTGGCCAGGAATTAAATGTGGTTCAAATAGAGGAGAACAGTAGTAAAAGCACATATAAAGTGGGTAATTATGAAACGGACACCAACAGTTCTGTCGACCAGGAAAAATTCTACGCAGAGCTGAACGACCTGAACCGAGAGTCTGACCTGCATCCGCCAGACAGTGGTTTGGCAGACTTTGCTTCTCAGGACGACTCCGTATTTGTAAATGACAGTGGTGTTGGTGAATCTGAGAGCGAGCATCAGACTCCCGATGACCATTTAAGCCCGAGCACAGCTTCCCCTTCTTCTCGCAGGACTCGAAGTGACACAGATCCACAGAAATCCCAGCAGAGCTCCGGAAGGACTTCTGCATCTGAAGACGCTGGGAAGTGTAGCAGTACAGACACAACACAAGCACAGCCTACGTTGGGAAAGAAGAAACTGCTGATAGCTGACCCTTTAGACTTGAGTGACTTGGCACATGTCGGTGATCAAAAAGAGGATGTGTCTCCCACAGTTGCTGGTGAAGATAATGACAGTAAGAGACGCCAGAGTTCAGATAGCACCATTGGTTTCTCAGAGCAAGAAAAGCTGGGACCTGTGGGATCTACAGAGAGCACAAGAGCAGATCCTGGTTCACCTGTAACAAAGCTGAGTTTATCTCCTACTTCTAAGCTTGGATTTTCCTATAATAAGGATACAGATCTTGCAAAGAAACCGCATGCTTGTCTGAGGCAAACAGAATCTGATTCTGACGGTGATGCCAGAACGGCTTTAAATCATGCAGATCAAACTGCGAAACCAGCCCAGGTAAGAAACTTAAACTTTCTGTATGCCTGTGAATCAGGATGGAGACGCTGTTCAAGTTCTTTCTGCGTGTTTGTAATTTACACCGTATCTTCAGTATGAATGGCAAGGTGGGTGGTGTATTTTTATTGTTGTGCAATAAAAACTTTGACTGAAATAGGTCATGCTGAAAAAGAGCCATTACATGAAAAACTATATATAGGAACTGTGCTACTGTTCATCTTTCTAATCCCTCTCCAATTAAAGGAAGTAACATATTCTCAACCAGGTCACAAAAGATGGTTTTAAGGCTTTTGCCACCTTTCTTCTGAGTATTGCATGCTGAAGCAAAAATTGGAAAAAGACTTAACAATTCATTGATCCATCTTTAAAAATGTAAAGTTTTGAATACCTTAAAATATACCAAACATATTTTGAAATCTTATCTGAGAAACCACATGGCCTCGTGAACATAGGCCACAATAGTGAGGCAGAAAATCCAGAATATTAAGTTTTGCTGTTCATTGAGGGGCCTTGAGCATTTTACCTACCTATCGTTTTCCTTTCTAGAAAGATAAAAAGGATATGCCCACCTACCTTGCAGATTTGTTGTGAGGATGAAAGTTGAATATTGTATAAATGCTGGATATTAGTAGCATAGAATCATAAAAGAATATGTAAAAAATTTTATGAGCCTTGTTGACAAAAAAGCCAAAGTGTGCTTATAATTTTACCCCTGTGAAGAGCTTTCTTGAGTTTTGGCTTTGTTCAGCTTTGTGCCATTAGCTCTGATAAGAATGTACCAAGTCTTTCCGTAGTGTGGGTTGCTTCAAATCTTCTAACTGGATTCAGTTAGAAGCGCTGTAAGGATTCATCTTATTGCAAGAGAAGCAGTCTGGATGGGTGATAAGGGCCAAATATTAGTTCCGTGGCCAGCTAACTCCTTTCCTATAGTTAGTGAAGTCTCATGAAGTTCCTCTTCATCATCATCTTTGCATACTGGATGAGAAAGGAACAATTTGGCCCATATGGAATAACAGAAGAGGATGAGACGGGATATCTTCTCTATGAGGATTTTCATGTGCAAAGTGTAGTAGGCCAAGAAAAGGAAGAGATGGCTTTAAAGATGGTTCTGTGTTGTTAATCTGTGCATTTGCACAAGGTAATAAAATCTGAAATTTGAGTCTCAACCTTGAACAATCGATGGTTAGAATCAGCCACGTCCATTTCCACATGGTTGTTGCAGGAGCTCAACGTACAACATCTGTCCCAGCTCTCCCTTGCGCAAAGGCCTAGTCATGCATTTTACCAGAGTTTTCGCAGTTCACCTTGCCTAAGAAGTCAGCACTTGGGACTATATATGTATGAGAGCTGCTAATATTGCCTATGCAGAAGCCTCCCTTCTGTTATTTCTATAATCTGTTATTTCTATAATCTGTCATGTGTATGAAGAGTGGACTTGCTTGTGGATATTGGGAAATGAGGTAGACACAGATATTTTTGCAAGGTTTTTTGCCTTGTACCCTGCCTCTTTGTGTTCAGTTCAAGTTATAGATGACTGGTACCCATTGAAGTAGCCAGTGAAGAATTATATTTGCATACATATTAAAGTAAATAAGTAAACACATAGCTTCCATTAAGCCAATTATTTTTTTTCCACAGTGGCAGTTTAAAGGCATTAAGTCTTGATAAAAATTAAGTTTTAAGGGGAGGGGAGAGAGCACTTATTTTCATTATAAAGGCCTGTGAGGTTTTTTTAATTTTACATTTTGATCATCTTTAGTTTTCATTTCTGTAGAATACTCTGTCACCTCATGAAGCTGTAATCCATGTGACTCCTGACTTTTATTGTATAGGAAGGCTTTTGGCTATTAACTACTGTTTAAATGTTAAGTAGCCTGAGGCTGCATTGCTGTTAATTATATTTCTTTATTTTTAAGCAACGAATGTTGTCAAGACAGGAAGAACTTAAAGAACGAGCAAGAGTTCTGCTTGAGCAAGCAAGAAGAGATGCAGCTTTAAAGGCAGGGAATAAGCAACTAACCAATACGATCGTCCCAGCCCGCAATAAGCAGCTGAATGATGTAAGAAACGTTGGCCAGTATGGCAGTTTGCGTAGTTAAAATCGATTGTATGTGCATATGCTTTTGTGGAGGACATGTCCCTGCAGAATATTTCTCTTCCATGGCTGAATCTCCTGGTGTTCTGGTGTCTCGTGTACCATTAGTTCACTTCTGGTGACTGTTTCTCCTGCCGTTATGCCCAACAGGAAGATGCCTTAGACTTCACTGAACGCAGAGGTCTGGGACCGCGTTCTTTAACACTGCGGTTTCTAATGGGACGAAACACAAAAGTTACTTGTTAAATGACAGTGGAATAATTTATGCTATTTTTGATTACTTCTCTTTTTCCACTTAATGTGAATGCATTCCCTGAGCTTGTGATGTCAACTGCTTGCTGCTTCCTAAGTGTTGCTGCGGTGAATGAGGCCGCTTCTAACAGTCTTGTAAAAGAGCTGATGGAACAATTCCTTTTTATCACCAAAGTTGATTATGCTGGTGAGATGGAAAAGTGGAGCTGGGGAATGAGCTCCAGTGTTGAAGCAGCCATGGTTGTGTCTCCAGTGGCCTCTGTGCTGACCTGGAAGGATGCATACTCCCTGGAGATGAAAGCTAATTAATTTTTATGCAAACCTTTGCAATGCGGGTTTTGTGATTTTGACTGTCGCACATTAAAGACTGTACTGGCAACTGAGAATGTAAATGTAACTGCAAAATAATGACGACACAGAGAAAGCCTTGAATTTGTACAGATTGGCATCTTTCAGAGCCTGATCCTGAGGGGCAGATTCTGCTTTTTACATAAATGGGATCATACAGTCAAAAAATGAAGACAGTGATTTACATGTCTCATTTCATTCTCTTAACTGTCTTGAATCCATGCTGTACTTATTTTTTCTTAACAATTAGTCACCCCAAACTGATGCTTTTTTCCTTCAAATTTATATTCATATATTCCTCAAAATATATTCATCTATGTAGACAAGTCTTATTTGTATCATGATAACATAGTGATAGATACGCATTTTCTTATTAATTTGAATTTAGGTTTTTCCTAGATAAGTATGTTTTTGTATAAATTTCACCTTGGATTTTTTTAAGTTGTTTTTTCATAAAGCAAGCAGCATTAGAGGAGGAATACTATATCAACTACTCAGGCAGGAACAACTGTAATTAAAGTCTTCTAACATTTTTTATTACAAGCTTTATTTTCAAAGGTTTTACGACTTCACTAGTATTTCATTGTTTGAGCTGAAATTTTCCCTGTCTCCTCTCTACTTCAGCGTATTTTTTTTTTAATTCAAGAAAACCCTGTTCAACTGTTTATCTTTATTAGATTGGATAAAGCATCATGTTTATGCATGTTAAAAAATGTCTTTTGGGGAGAAGGTTCCATCCCCTTGATAAATCTGTTCAAAACAATCAAAGTTGTGCTAACAGCACAATCTTGTCAGAGAGCCTTGAAGTTCAGAAAAGTTGCTGTCAGTAAAAATTGTCTGTACGGAGACAGCACAGCAAGAGCTGCTTTTACCTTTCCTGCCCTAAGGATCAGGGTCCATTCTGATGCATATTGGAAAGCAAAACTTTCTCTTTTAGACTCAAACTCGTTCTGATGAAATCCAAATAGGGGGAAGAGGAGCAACCCCACTGGCACGCAGAGAAGGGATGCCCAGGGCAGATGGCAAGGAGGAGGATGGCAATGTTAAGTTAGACAAAAATGAAGACTGTGTTTAGGCCATGAAAACCAGCTGAAGGATAGGAGGTGGTGACAGAGTTTTCATGGTGAGAGTCAGGATTATGGAGTTCAGACAGCCAGATTACCCGTGGGACATTATTTCCTTTATTACAGAAGCTGAAAAATTAATTAGAAGGAAAGGGAAGGGCAGTCTTTTAGGGCCACTCTGTGGAGCCAAAGTTTCTTGCTGCCTCCATCAGAAGCTCTTTACAATGTTGGGAAGGTACCTTAAACCCAACATACTCAAGGTGGCAGATTCCTTGATTTCTGATTTCTAACCCAAGAGGGGGGTTGATTGGTCCCCAAGGGGGACCCATTTCTGGAAGCTTTGAATGCAGCCAGCTGTAGCCAGGTTCACAGAGGGTCCTGGCCCCCCTGAAATCCTGGGTGCACCGAGCAAACAGGTGATGGACAGTCTTGACTTGAGTTGACTGTAACATAAGAATAACAAAAGCTCCTCAGCTCAGAAGGGTGTTGTGGGGTGTAATTGGGAAACACTTGGATAGTGAAGAGTGCCAAAGAAATGCTCTGGAAAAAATTAATAATTCTGTGTTCAGAGAAAAGTTTAAGTATGTTTTCAACAGGTTTAGGGCAGATGGTGAATGATGAGGGTAAAGTGAGGTATCGGACAGTTGTTCATTCACTGAACACTGTCAGTCATGGCCACTGAAAAAGGTAAGTATCCTGTAGGAAAAAGAAGTATGGGTGGTTATGCCATGAGAACCAATGCAAGGTTGTACAGCTAGTGTAATTTGGACATTTTCTAACTTCGAAGTGCTTGACTTCCCAAGCTCAACATTCTCTTACTGCATCTGGGAAAGAGGGGTGTATTTAATGGAAGCTGGTATAGCATTCATAATTCATTTATTATTTAAAGTTAATATATAATATTCTATATGAAGCTGTGTATAACATACGCATATGTTACACATAGGTTATATGAATAGACATACATGTGTATCTTCTGAATGAGGATGTATGTATGCATCAACATACGTAGATAGAGGATAAAATACATTGATTTCTCTTTTTCTTTAACATATGTGTTCTTCATAGAGATGAGATTTCCATTTGATGTAGTTAGGCCAGTTTACTACAGGTCATTGCTTATTTGATTATTAGAAAGTAGTGCAGCCTTATTTCTATTCCGTGTTTTCTGGTCATCAGGATTAATAGGGCGGTTGACTCAAAGCAGTGTTGTGTGTGTCAGTGTGTGGTGATGTGTACTGGTGTGCTCTGCGTGAGAGGTACGATAATGAGAATCAGCACTTAGCAGTGAGAATTGACTAGGCTCATTTTTGGGATGGGTTGGGAGGGAATCAAAAGAAAATAGTTTAAAACAGGAAGATCTAATTTTAAATACGAAAACTTTAAAGAGAGAGTCCAGTAACAGTACTTTCAAAAGTAACTTTTGAAGTTGGCAATTGCACCTTTTTGGATACCTTCATGTAAGCCACCCTGTCTTTCAGAGCGTGCTCAGCAAATCAGTCAGCCCAGGTAAGCCTGCAGGGTCATTAAATACTTCTGAGAATCTTGTCTCCTCAGCCTTGCTGGGCCACTTTACGTTTGTCATAGGACAACTGTGAATTGCTGTTTTCTTTGTAAACAAGTGAGAACAATATACAGTGCATGTGGTTGTACTGCTGCTTAAAGTCAACAAAAGAGAGGAAATTTCCAAATCCATGTTCCATAGGTTGTTAATACAGGTTACCTGGTATGTGCTCACCTCATTTGTTTTGGTAAGAGTCCTTTTTTTGGGTGGGGGGAGAGGGGAAGTGTTCCTGTTTCTCCTCTAAGCATAGAGCAAATACCTCAGACCTTCTTCAGCCTGACCCTGACCCTTCCCCTGGTGGAGCCAATACTGTGTTATGTTTTTCAGTAGCCGTGTATTCTGGGCTTGCTTTTCTTTCTTTTTTTTTTTTTTCTTCTTTCTTATCTTTCTGTTGTCTTTATTGACCACTAACTGGCCTCTCATAAAGTACTGGCTATTTTCCCTTGGCTGTTTACCCCTCTTTCTTGAGTTTTCTTTCTTGCTGCAGTGTACTTTCATCTTCTCACGTTTGCTTTGGGGTTAGGCCCGTATCACTATTCTCACTTGTTTTACTTTTTTTTTCTTTTTAACTCAGAAATTGATGAAGTTCTGGGATCAACAGATTAAGGCACTGAATTTGCTCATATACCTGTTAACTCAATCCTATTTTCCTCTGAATCACATTATTGCTCATTGCATCCCAAGCTGTTATTCTCTTCCCCCTCTTTAGTTTGTGTCTTGTTCTTTCCTCTCTCCGAGACTTATTTCAGCTCTCTCTGCCCTGACCATTTCAGCTCCCCTTCTCCTTTTGACTTTTTTTTCTTAATACTCGTTCTCTTTACTCTTTCTTCCCTTAGACATCTCCCCTCTGTGCCTTCTGCCCCATCACCTTCCACCTTTATTCAATCCACCTGATTTAGTCCTGTGATTCTCTGCTGGCTTCCTCTGTTGGCATCATATTAGCCCCTTTTCTCCCATTTCTTCCCTTCTTGTGGCGTGGGATAATTTTTTTCACTGTTAGATCTGCTCATTTAGTGTTTCTCAGAACTCTTCAATCTGCAAGCTGTATGTATGCCAGGCTGTATGCAGGTATGTACCTGTAAGCCTGTAGGCAGGTATTTGAAGTCTAAGAAGAGACCGCATTGATCAGAACCTCCTTGAAAATGTGCTTATGGTTTGGGAGGATCATAGGTATGTCCTTAAAATTGATGCCGCCTTTTGGAGACTGGAAGAATTAGCTTAAGAGCTCTGTGAACAGAGTTACTGATCCCCACATGGATCCCTTTCTCTATGGTAGATTTACAAACAGCTCAGTCTTTCTGCTCGCTTTCTGGCTGTAGGTGTGCATGTAGGGACTCTTTTACGAGGTGCTTCTGTCATTTCCAATCTGGTATAGCAGCTGTAATCACTTACCTTTTAACCAGGAGAGTCTTTTTATTAGCTTACTCCTTTTTATTTAACTCACCTTTTCTCATGATGAATATCACAGGGATAGAGTGGACATATCTGCTGCCACCAGATGCTGTAAAATATCAGCCTGTAGCCATGGTTGTTAGCGGCGGTGGCTTGGCTGGAATGAGATGTTGGAAAGGCGAGGAGACTGGAGCTGGTCTGTGCAACCTACCTAGCGAAGTGGCAGGCTAGAGGGGACCACGACGAGTGGGAGATATTCAGGAGTCACGGGGCTAAAAGGTCTTTCCAGCAGAGAACCCTGACTCACGGAATGTGGAATGGAATCCATAATCCTTGAATCTCAGC